TTTGATAAATCTAACTTTCCCCCATTCACCTATTTTAATTTCTCTTTGTCCATTGTTATCTTGGCCCACTAAAGCTGGTCTGTGAACCGTGACAACACAATTAAAGAAATAGGCTTAATTTCCTGGCCATGACCAGACACTGTCACAGGATGATGTCTTCCTTGTGCGTGCACAGAGCTGTTAATTATTCTTCTTCAAGAAATAATGACATGCCAGGGCATGAAACCTGGGGCCACTGTCTTTATTCAATTAGGCAAGAGTGAACTTGCACGTGCCCATGCATAAAGAATAATCACTTCGTGTAACTGAATGTTGGTTTTGGTGTGCCTGTTCCCCAATGAGGCAGCATCTAGAAGGATCAAAAGACGATTTATTCCAAAACAGTCTGTGCAAAGGGGCCCAAGTGTGTGCCACGTTGCATCTTCATTTTACATTTCATCCTGAGACTCAATTAACAAGCCTGTTATTCTTTTATTAAAATCACTTTAAAAAATTAAGGCAGAAGGATTTTTATGTACCAGAGAGCAAGCCATGTAATCAGCTGTGCCCCACATGTGTTCGTTTCCTCTTATAGTCCTGATCTGAGGCTCGTGATACTAATCTAGGGGATTGCTGGGGCTAAGAGGCCATGAATCCTGAGGAGATTTGTCAACCCCCTCAGCACACACCCATCCACCAATACACCCACACCCACCCACACACATACCGACACACACACACCCACGCTCTCTGTTTCAGGGCTGAGTGTAACATCACTTCAAAGCTTTCCATCCTGCTGGCCCTGAGCCCGGCCAGGGAGCCCGGCCTCTCCTCTGACACACGGAAGTTTCTGCCTTGTTGGGAAGGTCCTTTGTCCTGAAAGCTGAAGCTCCTAACTTGGGATCGATGTGAGGTTAGAGTTTGGGGGGACCTGTATATGTGCTGTCACTTCAGTCATGTCCGACTCTTTGTGACCCTGCGTATGGACTGTAGCCCACCAGGCTCCTCTGTCCATGGTATTCCCCAGGCAAGAACACTAGAGTGGGTTGCCATGTCCTTTTCCAGGGGCTCTTCCCGACCAGGGATCTAACTCTTACCTCCTGCATTGCAGGTGGATTCTTTACCACTGAGCCACCAGCAAAGCCCAGGGGAGGGGGGAGAACTATGAATCCCCTGAAATGATTCGTATACTTTTCTAGGAAGAGGATCTTTTTGTGTTCATGACTGGGAAAAGATTAAGAAACGGAACTATTCTAGCTTTGCTCTCATCTTTTGACACCAACGGGTGTTGGAAGAAACTTGGTCTTGGGAGTGAGATGGATTTCTCTTTGGATTGTTTCCAGTAGATTTAGCTGTGTAACGTTGGGCAGGCTATGAAATCTCTCTGAAACTCTATTTTCTCAAATATGAAACAAGGGTAAGAATGCCCATTTTAAGGTTGAAGTGACTGGTAGATTTAATAACAGTAAGTAATTTTTATTCTTCTTCCTTCTATGAGTAAAATGAAAGCAAGTATCTGTTCTATCTTGTTCCTTGTTGGGTCTTTTCATGACAGTGCCTTGCACATAGCAGGCTCTCAAGTGTTGGTTGGATGGATAACTGGATGGATGGAGTGCCTTGGTTTGGTACCCAGATGAACTCTGTCTACTTCCTTAAAGCACTGATTTTCTTTTTTTTCCCCCAATTATTTTTATTAGTTGGAGGCTAATTACTTTAGAGGAATCTTGGTGCTAGAATTGGCCTTGCTTAGACCCTTCCAAGACCCATGCTCCATGTCCTACGCAAAAATCTTGTAGTATCCATATCCTGGATACTACAAGATTGGATCTTGTTATCCTGTGCTTTAAATCATGGTCTCTGCTGGGCCTTTGTCTATATCAGGGCTGGGCAAACTAGCTGGCAGACCAAATCTGGTCTGTTGCCTGTTTTTGGAATGTAGCCGTGCTCATTTTTCAACATGTTGTCTATGACAGGTTTGGGCTATAGCAGAGTTGAGTACCTAGCACAGAGATCATATGGTCTTCGATGCTTGATGTAATTTTTATCAGCCTCTTTTTCCATAAAAAGTTCTCCAACCCCTGATAGACATTTTCTGTACTTTTTAACCCTGCAGTGTTGGTTTGAAGATGCTTTTTTCTATGGCTTGTGAAGCTAAGATTAACAGTTAAGTGTCTTGACTGAGATTGCACAACTTGAGAATTGTTAAGGTTTCAGTCCAGATCTGTGTGATTCCACAGCCCATAGTTTTTCCACTAAGTGATGATACCTTACAATAAGACCAAATCCTAGCCGAACCAGTTACATCTCCCAGTTCTTCCTGGAGCCCATGACTGGCTTGGGGAGCAGTTCAGTGGTTCCCCGGAATCGTGGTGGGACCTGGCAGTGCTGGCGTTTATCAGTAGTCTAGTTTCAGTTTGCAGTATAAATTGTGTGAGTTTACAAGTAGGTAAGGGAGTGTGATGAGATTTCAAGGACTAATACTGTCGATGACAGAGCAGGATGGGCATGCTGCAGTTTATCTGCAAACATACTACTGCTCCCCAGAGCGCAGGGGTTTCAGCATTCTAAGAAGATCCTTGTTATTTACTGCTGAATGTGGCATCTACTCTTGTTTGATCCCTTGGTGAGAAATACGTAATATTTGTGCATTTTCAGCACACAGCCACTCAACAGAGACTGTCCCTGCTCCAGGCTATGAGACTATAAGAGTTTTGGGCCTCCTTGTCTGCCCACAGCTACCATGCCCTCATTGGCAGATCTGACTGCAAAAATTTGAGACAAAATTCTTTCACAGTCAATTAATCCTGGTGGAAATTTGATTGTTTCAAGGATTTACAGATGAACTTCTATAGTTCTGTTGATACTCAATCAGCCCATTATTCGGGGCTTCCCAGGTCGCACAGTGGTGAAGAATCTGCCTGCCAGTGCAGGAAACACAAGAGACATGGGTTTGATCCCTGTGGCGCGAAGATCCCCTGCAGTAGGAAATGGCAACCCACTCCAGTATTCTTGCCTGGGAAATTCCACAGACAGAGAAGCCTGGGATGCTACAATCCATGGGGTTGCAAAGAGTCGGACATGATTGAGCACGGGCACAGTGAGCCCATTATTACTAATTCTCACTTGATTTCCACACTTCCAGTTAATTTTTCCAAGCTTATAAACTGGTTATGATTAAACAACAGAAATAAAATTGGGGAAATTAGCTAGCTATTCCTGCTTTCGCTTGACTGCATAGCAATGCTTGCCATATAACCAAGACAAGCTGAAGATCATGATAAGAGTGAGAAAATTATAGCCACCCAACTGGAAGTGACCCCGTTGGGTAATTTATCCACGTGTCAAAGGATGTACTAATGAAAAATGGTTATACTGTGAATCAATTGTCATATGAAGTGGGGTACTGTCACTTTGGGTTAGTAAGGGGACAGTGAGAAGGATCAGGAAGGCAAAATGTTCTTTCTGATAGCCTGGTATTGTTCTTTGTGGCCAGCATTAGGGGGAGTGTCTGGGTCTGTCTCCATCTGTCATGGAGCTGCTGATGGAGGATTCCGCGGAAAAACTGCAGGGTGGACAGGAAGGAATCGGAGCTATAATTAACTTTCTGTTTCACCGTGTTCTACATCAGTGACGCTTTTTCCCCTAAAGACGAAATCGTGTAATCTTACCCTGTGGCGTTCACAGTCTCTAAAGTCAATGAATCTTTCAGTTTATGCTGAAAATATAAAAGAGACAAAATGAGGCTGCTCTGATTTAAGTGAGGGTGGAGGAGCCTGGTAAAATTAAGTAACATTTCATTTGTTGTGCCAGCGTAACTCTGTGGGGAAATAATGGGTTGATTAAAATTCGTGGTCTGTTGTTTAATTATTTAGAGTGAATGCTTCTTACAGAAAAATACGTTTCTCTTTGTAGTCCTCTTGGTTTATTCCTGATGTATTTTAGTGCCCACTTTTTTCTTAAGCTTCAAAATATGCAAGTAGCTCTCAACCTTTTTTTCTTTTTGTCTTTCACTTGATGTCAGGTACTTCTCATGGGTCCAAGCTGTTGATGGTTTGATTGTATTTCTGCCTTGGAAGCATGTTTGTTAAGCCCCATCACAAAATTTAGGTCACCCTGATGGAGACTAAAGAACTAATTCAAAAATTATAGGTAGGGCTTCCCTGATGGTTCATTGGTAAAGAATCTACCTGCCAATGTCGATGTGGGTTTGATCCTTGGTCCAGGAGGATCCCACAGGCCGTAGGACAGCAAAGCCTGTGCTCCACAACTGTTGAGCCGTGCTCTGGAACCTGGGAGCTGCAACTACGGAGCCCACGTGCCACAACTGCTGAAGCCCACTCACCTAGAGCCTGTCCTTTGCAACAGGAGAAGCCACTGCAATGAGAAGCCTGCACACCACAACTAGAGACTAGCCTCCACTTGCTTCAACAAGAGAAAAGCCCATGCAGCAATGAAGACCCAGCGCAGACAAAAATAAATACATAAAATTTTAAAAAGTCTTTAGCTGATTAAAGAACACTTCAAATTGGGGAGAAATTGACAAGTGTATCAAATTTCAATTTATATTGATGAGGCAGACTAGTCCAGGTGATGATGCCCTCACTTGCTAGGTGGGGGAGAGGTCTGAGCAAAGGCATAGAAATCTGTATAAACAGTGCTCTCTAGGGTTACACACCCCAGGTGTTACTGAATACAGTTAGTTATATTACTTTGGGAAAGAGCAAGGCATGTTCATGGCCTGGTAAGGGACTTCCCATATGATGACTAGTTCACCAAAACAATTGTTTGAGAGTCCTTGTGTGTGTTCTCTCTATAGCTATCTGAAGAAGGCGAGCTGCTGGTACGCTATGGTTTCTGCATGGCATTTTTGCTGTTTTTTTCACTCCAGGTGCAGTTTGATTACTGGTCACAGTTCAATGTATGTGTGCGGTGGCGTTTGGGGGCGGGTGTACGTAGGCTTGCATCCTTTGGCTGCCAGCCTTGCTGAGCTCACATATGGTCCTTTTTTTGTGTGTTGCCAGGGAGAAATGCTTGCTGCCCCTCCAGTTGGCTTTGGAATCCAAGAATGTGAAACTGGCTCAACATGCCTTGGCAGGGATACAGGTACCGTATACAATACATCCTGTTCTTACCCCAACAGGATGAGAGAAATGGACAGACCACCTTGGCATTGAAAGAGGAAATAGTTACCATTCTAAATTGTAGCTGTTTAAAGGCCCCGACAGAAATTGATTGAACTGTGTGATAACCATAGAGGATAACGATTTTCTTTTCTTTACCAGCATTTCTCTGTGCGCAGCATTATCTTGCTGAGCATATATGGTCAGACTCTGACTCTTGGAGACTCAGCTAAGCCCACATAGCGATGAAATATTTTTTTTATGAAATATTTTTTATGACACCTAACTTTTAGGAGAGTAAGGGACTCCAAGAGAGACACCTCAAGTTCTGTACCAGCTCAAATCTTATATGCATCCAACATCTGTGGTTCTGTGTCATGAGCAGTGATGGTAAGCTGGAAAGATTCTGGTTTGTTTTCTAGTCTACGGTTAAGTTGGCGAATGTTTTGTTTCCAGAATGAGAGTGGGAAGAGAAAAGAAATTTGGTCTAATCAGAAAAGTCAAACTGTGCAAATACACTTCCTTCCCTGGACATTTGTTCATTCTGTTTTGCACCGTACGTAAGAGGCCTAATTCCAAAGGTGCAAAGTTGTTGGCTGCATAAATACATGGACTTTTTAAAAAGGATTTTAAAAATTGGAATATATTGCTTTATGTGTTGTGTTAGTTTCTGCTTACAATGAAGTAAATCAGTCATAGGTATACATATATCCCCACCCTCTTGGACCACCTTCCACCCCACCCCTCGTTCCACCCCTCTGGGTCATCACAGAGCACTGAGCTGAGCTTCCTGGGCATCACAGCAGCTTCCCACTGGCTCCTTTACCCATGGATAAGGATGTGGTTCATACACAATAGTATTATTCAGCTACTCAAAGGAACAAAATGGGATCATTCATAGAGATGTGGATGAACCGCGAGTCTGTCATACAGAGTGAAGTCAGTCAGAAAGAGAAAAGCAAACATCATGTATCAATGCATATATGTAGAGTCTAGAAAAATGGTACAGATAAACCCTGACTTCTTAAGTGGTTTGGTGGCTGAGTGACAAGCACTGTGGAGTTCAAGCCTGCTGGGGATTCTTCCAGCATGGCCATGGATTGGTAGCATTGTTGGATGTCTTTTCACATTACTGTTTCATAGTTTGCTCTTTAAGTTTAGAGAGGTCTCTAATACGTTTTCAGTGTCACTAAATATGAAAGAATAAGAAAATTATGAAAAAAACCCAAGAAAGTTATGACTGTTTTTCCCTTAGCAGATTAGAATTAGAGAATGTATATTTCAATATGCAGTGACATTAGGAATTTTTAAACATTAAAAAAATTAAAGTTACTAAAAACTCTTTGCTTTTCTCCAAAGTAACTGTAAAAATGAATAGAAGTTTGTTTCAACCTGCCACTTATGTTCTCTTTTCTCTAGTATTACATAGATTTTCCATTTAGGTTTTTTATTTTTTAACCCTCAGACTCTGTAAGTTACAGTCTCATGTTTCCATGGGAACTTCACTGACGTGGGAGCTGGGCATCTTCCTCTCAGCATCCCTTGTGACCTCCCATTAACAAGTGAAAGCCGCTCAGTTGTGTCCGTCTCTTTGCCACCCCATGGACTATACAGTCCATTGAATTCTCCTGGCCAGAATACTGGAGTGGGTAGTCTTTCCCTTCTCCAAGGGGTCTTCCCAACCCAGGGATCGAACCCAGGTCTCCCACACTGCAGGCAGATTTTTTTACTAGCTGAACCACAAGGGAAGCCCAAGAATACTGGAGTGGGTAGCCTATCCCTTCTCCAGTGGATCTTTCCAACCCAGGAATCGAACTGGGGTCTCCCGCATTGCAGGTGGATTTTTTACCAACTGAGCTATCAGGGAAGCCCTCCCGTTAACTTCTAAGGCATTTTTTTTTTAAGAGTTTTCTAGTCTTTATTACTTTAAGTAAAAACAGGGTTTTGTATATGAACTACCTCTGGGCTGCCCTGCATAGTCAAAAAGTTCTTTAAAGTGGACACTTCAGAGATAATGTGGGTTCAGTCCCCAATCACTGTAATAAAGCAGATATTACAGTAGACTGAGCCACATGGATTTTACATTTTCCCAGTGCATACAAAAGTTATGTTTATACCATACTGTAGTCTCTTAAATGTGCAGTAGCATTATGTCTAAAAAAATGTACATACCTTAACTAAAAAATACTTTCTTGATAAAAGAAAATGCTAACATCATCTGAGCCTTCAGTCAGCTATGGTAGTAACATCAAAGAACACTGATTGCAGATCATTGTAACAAATAGTGTAAAAATAAAAAAGTTTGAAATATTGCAAGAATTACCAAAATGAGACACTATGTGAGTAAATACCATTGGAAAAATGGTGCCTGTAGACTTAACTGACACACAGTTGCCACAACCCTTCAATTTGTAAAGAAACATGATATTTGTGAAGGGCAATAAAGCTAAGTGCAATAAGATGAGGTATAGCTGTATATATGAATTCAGGGAGTCATAAGAATGTCTGAAATATGTGTTTTCTGGATCTGCAGTGGCATTCAGCTAAAAGAGGGAGTCATTACCCTGGATGAATCAGAATTCCAAAAATTCTTCATGATTGCAACCCCATGCTGCATCCGACAAGGACAAATTTAATAGGGATAAATATAAAATCCATCCTACTCTGGGGTCTCAAAAATCAATTGCCCCAGGACAGATTGGGGAAGAACAGCTTGATTGCGGCCCTTGAGAATGAGGTTTCTGAGTGAGTCAGCATAAAATGTGCTGGGACTTACAACTAAGCTAATTTGATCTGAGAGTGTGATTAAGCTTCTGTATTACTGTTTTTTGTTTGTTTGTTTTTTGGTTTGATTTTAAGCAGTAAACACATTTAATTGTCTCATACAACTAGAGTTCTAGAGGTAAACAATTCCAGGTTTGAAATAGGAGAGCAGTGGCCACCAAAGACTGCATTTCTTTCCCTCTTGCCATCTTTTTTATTGTTATTATTTTTAAAAGACTATTTTAGAGCAGTGTTAGATTGACAGTAACATTGAAAGGAAGGTGCAGAGATTTCCCATATACTCCCTCCCACTACACATGCATAGCCTCACCCATCATCACTCCCGGAACGATACTTTAAAAAAAAAAACAAAGATGAGGCTACATTGATATGTCCTCATCACCCAGGGTCCATATGTTTACCTTAGCATGCCCCTTTGGGTGCTCCTGCTCATTGCTATCAGACCACCCTTGAAGTGTTGCATTCACTGGAGGCCAGTTGAGGAGGAAAGTGTCTGAAACCATGTTACGTGGAGAACGTTTGATGGCACCCAAGGAGGTTTAGTGTGGAGCAGAAGAGATTTAGGTGGAGTTCATCGCTGATCAGGTATTTTAGAAACTTAATCTGTGTGGCTGCAGGTATAACTAGGGCATACAAGTTGTAGGCAAGGAGGGTTTGGTTCAATTCATAAAGGATTTTATGAAAAATGAGTTGTTTTCAAGTAGAGGAGAGCTGTCCTGTGAGATGTAATGCCTTCTGGGAAACCTCATGAAAATGACTGTCTTCTTGTTTCGGTTTTTGTGGAATAGATTTTCTGATGAAAATATATTAAGATTTGTAGATTCATGAATAATTCCTGGGTAAATGATAGCTCACATTAGGAAGTACGAATGTGAACGATTAACCTGTGCATAAAACCTCCTTTCCTGTGACAAAGCTTCATTCAGAAAGGGTGTGTGCGAACGTGCCTGTTGTGAGAAGCTGGATTCCCCTTGGCGCATTCATCCTCCTTCCCCACCCACCCAAAGACTCATTTGGCCACCACATTAGAATTTCACTTCATAAAATTTACAGTAAATTATCTAATAGCAGGAAAAAGCCTTTGCCAAAAACCATTTTCCAAAGGCATGATGCATTTTTCTTTTTAATGGCACAGAGCGGAAACTCCTTCCTAATGGCCTCCAGCTACATGCCTCCCGAGTAAGAAACGTTACCGTAGGACATACTAGGCTACAGCAGAATAAGGCAGCAGGGAAAAGCCTGCCTGTGATCACTGTCTGGTGCCTCTTTACAGAAGCTCCTGGCGGAAGAGAGGTTTGTATCCATGGAAACGGACTCTGATGAGAAGCAGCTGCTCAATCAGATCCTGAACGCTGTGAAAGTGACGCCTTCCCTCCACGAAGACCTGCAGGTGGAAGTGATGAAGGTGGGTTTGACGCACTCCCAGCTTGCGTCACTGTGGTGGAAACGAATTGCTGACCCTCATTGTTATCGTAAAGATGCCTCTATGTGGTGGTCACTTGACCACCACTTGTGGACTATATGATTATTATCCTTGTTTGTGGTCCCCCAGAATAACCTTGATTGTGGAACAGAAATGACAACTAAGTAAAAAGCTTTACTTGGTTTATAGATTTCAATAAATCTGTAAGATTTTTGGCCTGATCCTGCATATCAAATATTGTTAAATAGATTTATGACCTTTTGAGAAAATGTATAGGAGTAGTTCCGCTTGGGGGTAGACCTGATCATTCTGGGCATTCTGCCTTTCTCTATGTGTTAAAACAAAGCAAAGACCTAATGACATATATTAATGCTGTGTAGAAAAGTCAGTTTAAGGAAAGGAAGCTCATCCTTTGAAGCCATATAAAAATCACATCTTTATTTGCATCTTCACATTCTGTGACCTTATCTCCCTCATTCTAATTACCATCTCCCTTTGGGGGGTTGCATCTCTCTCTCTCCCCTTTTCCCTTTTTCCCCTCCTTTGAGAGCTACCATAATTGGGAGCCTCGAACACAGACTCAGGGGTGTGTTGTATCCCATAAGTGAACAGCGAGTTGGGCAGAAAAGGATGGAAATCTCTAGCCTAGAATAGCACCTTGTCAGAGTAGTACAGCTGGAACCCATGAGCTGGACACAACATCTGTCCGTTTCCTCCCTAGAGGAGTGTGCCCTGTTGGTGGTTAATTTAGTATAGTGATTAAGAGTTCAGACTTTGAAGCCAGCCTGTCTGGGCATTCTAGTTGGACTTCCTTGAACAGATTCCTGAACCACTCTGTGCTTTGGTCTCATATGGAGAATGAGGTAAATAGTTTAATTCAATCACTCAGTTGTGTCCGACTCTTTGTGACCCCAAGGACTGCAGCACGCCAGGCCTCCCTGTCCATCACCAACTCCCGGAACTTCTCAAACTCATGTCCATCGAGTTGGTGATGCCATCCAACCATCTCATGCTCTGTCGTCCCCTTCTCCTCCCACCTTCAATTTTTCCCAGCATCAGGGTCTTTTCTAATGAGTCAGTTCTTTGCATCAGGTGGCCAAAGTATTGGAGTTTCAGCTTCAGCACCAGTCCTTCCAATGAATGTTCAGGACTGATTTCCTTGAGGATTGACTGGTTGGATCTCTTTGCAGTCCAAGGAGTTGTCTCCAACACCACAGTTCAAAAGCATCAATTCTTCAGTGCTCTGCTTTCTTTATGGTCCAACTCCATACATGACCGCTGGAAAAACCATAGCCTTGACTAGATGGACCTTTGTTGGCAAAGTAATGTCTCTGCTTTTTAACATGCTGTCTAGGTTGGTCATAACNTCCAGCTTGAACATCTGGAAGTTCATGGTTCACATACTGTTGAAGCATGGTTTGGAGAATTTTGAGCATTACTTCAGTAGCATGTGAGATGAGTGCAATTGTGTAGTACTTGGAACATTCTTTGGTATTGCCTTTCTTTGGGATTGGAATGAAAACTGACCTTTTCCAGTCCTGTGACCACTGCTGAGTTTTCCAAATTTGCTGGCATATTGAGTGCAGTGCTTTCACAGCATCATCTTTTAGGATTTGAAATAGCTCAACTGGAATTCCATCACCTTCACCTCCACATCACCTCCATCAGGGGAAAATAGTATCCCCTACCTGACAGGACCATTGTGAGGATTAAATAAGTGATAATTGTCAGTGATAAGGAACTTAGCATAGTATCTGGCCCAAAGCAAGTTCTTTAGAAGTGGTCTTTGTTACTTCTATTCCTACTACTTCTGTCACCACTACCTACTGCTGCTGCCGAGTCATCATCTCAGTGGGTGGGTCTAGGAATATTCTTATACGCAGTAAACATTGAGAATGTCTGAGCTACCTAATCTTTAAGATCTCACTGTCTTTAACTCTCTTTGATTCTGGAATGTCTGGTTTTGCCTTATCCTTTGACATACGTCGGCCCGCTGTGCCTTCCTAGGAGCCCAACAGTAACCATCTCTAGATTTGTTTGACTTCTCTGCTACCTCTGTGCCACCACTGAGAGAGGCAAGGTCAGCAGCCACGTCCGTCACTTTCACAACTTTCAAGTTAAGTCTCTTTATCCTTCTTCCACTAAAAGATCTCCAAATACCGAAGGTTGAGCATTGATGTCACACTAAGAGACACACCTCGCAGATTTCTTATTACTCTGGAAATTCTCCCAGGAGTATAGCTTTTCATGGATTATAGGAATTTGCATTAAAAATCAAAATGAGAAAGTACCTATTCTTCTAGGAACTATGGAGGAGCAGGATGTTTAATGGTTATGCCAACAGAAACACCTGTTTTGAAAACATACTTGCTTTCTAATTCCAGCCCAGGGGTCCCTTCTGCCAGCCTTGCTGAAGACGGGAGTTGACACATGTTAGCTCTGCTGGAAACCCTGGAAAGCCAGTCTTTATGGACTTTCTAATGACACCATACTAGACAGTGGTACTTGCAGTTAATGTCTGGAAATAGATCAGACATTGTCAGAAAAGAGGAAAACAAGCATCTGGGTCGCGATTCTTCACAATTCGTTTTCCGAAACTTTTAAAAGAAGAGGGCCTTTGGTACATGCTTTTGTTTTTAGAAACTTTGTGAAAGTGAAAGTCGCTCAGTTGTGTTCAACTCTTTGCAACCCCATGGACTGCAGCCTGCCAGGCTCCTCTGTCCATGGAATTCTCCAGGCCAGAATACTGGAGTGGGTAGCGTTCCCTTCTTCAGGGGATCTTCCCAACCCAGGAACTGAACTCCGGTCTCCCACACTGCAGGCGGATTCTTTACCAGCTGAGCCACCAGAGAAACCCAAAAATACTGGAGTGGGTAGCCTATCCCTTCTCCAGGGGATCTTCCTGACCCAGGGATCAAACTGGGGTCTCCTGCATTGCAGGTGGATTCTTTACCAGCTGAGCTAATGTTTTAAAAACTTAAACATTAGAATTGGGAAAAATATTTCAAGCTAGTTTTTTAGCATCAAATGAAACTTTGAAGAAGGTGATCTGACTTTGAGAGCCCACAGGTGAGGGTTCCATGACCATTTCTGATTTCTGAGATTTAAATTACTTGTTTGGGTATAAAGACATATAGAAATGATAGCATTTGGAGCTTAGAAATAACTTTATACCCTTTCTCCATGCATGAGGAACTTCTGTACCAACTTCAGTCATCCTTAGATGTGAGCACCCTTCTATCTTGTAATTCTGTAATGCTTGTCATGACCAAAGTAAAAACTTTAACACAAGGACTTGTTTTGCTAATATCGTTACCACATGAAAATGCTTTTACAACTTTTTCTTCCCTAAGTAGAGACAGAGAGAAATAGAGAGAAATGTGAATTGGATGAGTCCTCAGAGGGAATGACTGAATTCCATTACATATGGAGGATATATTAACTTATTCTTGGTGTTTCTGCATAACTCATTCTGACAGTCAATGATCTAAACTAGATATTTCTTATAAAAATTCTCTAGTCATATTACAGAAATATATTGTAGGAAAATCTTTTAAAATATGATATGGTAGACCGTTTCAAATAATGGTCTGAGCATTCTATTCAGGACAGATAAAGCCACACCATGCAGTTTTTATTTCTTTCCAAACATGGCACAGTACATTTTTATGACAAATCGTAAATCCTGTTTTTCAGGAAACTGTATCATACATTTTACTCACATATTGCTATCTGCTAGTGTTTATAAACATGAGAAATTGAATCATGTCACATTCTTAGACGTATGCAGCAATTGTATTAAATTCCTGGGGAGAAAATAACATGGTTCCCTCTTTTAGAAACTTCCCTGAGATAAAACAGGAAGCAGCTAATAATGAAACCCAAGATTATGATGGTAATGTTCTCATTAAGAAAGAAGGCTCTAGACTTTCAGTTGGAGGGTTCAGAAACATCAATGATGCTTGCTTCTGACAAATTTAATAGGGATGACGTTAAATCACTTAGTTTAGGAACTGTTCTATTGAATACATGGTTATACTATCTAACAGGAGGGGGAGAAAAGACAATGTTTATTTATTGAAATGGCTGTGGAATCCAAATAAAAATTTTATTACTGAGCACATAGAGTGTCAGACCTGCAGATAATCAGGAAGAGGGTTTCTCTGAAGATACGTTACCTTTGAAGTGGATTAGTAGTAGTGGATGGCAGGGAGCCAGTTAACATTTAGGTTAAATACTTGTTTGCCTTGGTAACATTTTTCCTGTGGTGTGTGCTATTTCCATAAATGCCATGCAGACTTCATAGGAGCCAGGTACATAACTAATGACATCTCTGACTAGAGCAATTAGGACTTCCCCCCCTACTTTCTGATGGATAATCTTTAGTGAGGTTATTAACTGACACAGCTGGCTGAGTCTTCAGTGACTGGAGGGGACTGTGGCCGGCCTTCTGTGTCTCTCAGCATGTTAGAGATGCAAGCTGCCTATCTGGGGAGGGCAGGCCGGCTTTGTCAGTAAGAAAGGATGTGAGGCTGGATACTGAGCAAGCATTGGATGAACGTTCTGTCATTAGATGTCTTATGTGCATCTTTAGATAATATAATTGAATATTGCTGAAATGCTTTACATTTTCAAAGGAGAAATGACAGGGGCCAATTTGTTAACATTTATTATGCATTAGACATTCTGATGAATACATTCACACTAGGATCACACATCTAGTGAAATGGCAGGACCGATATTCAAATTATAATTCAGCCTGGGGCCAAATGTGGGCTCTTGAAGAGTGGGTTACCTTGTCTTCTGAGTTTATCCTGAAAGACAGGTAATTTCCAGTACTGTTCCCGTTTTATAGATGATTGAACAGAAAAGGTAAATTACAGGCTAATAAGGGGCAAAGCTCAGCGTGGCTCAAAGTCCTTTGTTTTCTGTATCCTTCCATGATCATGTATTCCCTCACTAATTCTGTGAGTTAGATTCAA